TTACTGCAGAACTTATAATTACATACAAGCTCACGGAAATATGGTTGTATCTTTAACAATGAACAATCATAATGACAAACAGCAGAAAACATAAATATAATGTGTTTGCATACATCATAGTATGAGATTATATACAGGGTAAAAGAGGCACAATGACAAGGTTAAATATCTTTAAATAATTCATCATAGACGGATGAAACAAGGGTTAAATTCAACAAGTACATATGAAGCACATTAAAGGGGAAGTCGTGGCCTAATGGTTAGAGGGTCGGACTCGTAACCCAAAGGTTGTGGGTTCGAGTCTCGTACCGGCAGGGATTGTAGGGGGGGGGCGGGAATGTACAGCACTCTCTCCCCCCTTCAATACCACGACTGAGGTGCCCTTGAGCAAGGCACCGAACCCCGGCAGGGATTGTAGGTGGGGGGAGTGAATGTACAGCGCTCTCTCCCACCTTCAATACCACGACTGAGGTGCCCTTGAGCAAGGCACTGAACCCCCAACTGCTCCCCGGGCGCCGCAGCATAAATGGCTGTGTGTGTGTGCGCACTTTGGATGGGATAAATGCAGAGCACTAATTCCGAGTATGGGTCACCATACTTGGCCACATGTCACATCACTCACTTCACTCAAGGAGATTTAAGCCACTTTTGCTTGTGGATGAAACATAAAATGAAATTAATAACACATTCAAGAGATAATGATTTTGGGTTTTCGTAATAAAAAATAATATCTTTAAGGATAAAACTATGGGTCATATTCAATGATCCGTCTAAATTTTTTTTCGTGCTGAGCAAAACTTTTCTCTATTGGACGGACATTTCGGCCACCTCAGCAAAAACATTCTTTATATCATCAGACCCGTGCAGCGCACACACAAAACACTGTCTAACTTTTAACTTTAATGTGCTATTTATATTTGATTTGACCCTTCATGAAACTAAAGATATATTTTTGTAATTTTTTTATAATTCATGTATATAATATAATATAATATAATATAATATAATATAATATAATATAATATAATATATAATTGTCATGGTTCGCAGGTCTGTGGATTTTTTAGCGCTCTAGCGGTTAATAAACAGAACTGCACACATCTCGCGGAAGAACATTCCAACCGGAGCTACTTCTCTAAGTTTATGTCTATGGCGATTCACGCAGGTATGTGTTACTCCGCAGCGGTGACGACCCGACCCTACTACAATAGTCCAAATATAAGTACTTATTATAAGTGTACCGTAGTGATTCGGAATAAGAAAAAAACGCGGTTTGGAAGATGAATTTATGATGATGTACTCGCTCATTATATACATTTGGCAAATTTTGAACACAGAAAAAGTTACATAGTGCTGCTTTAAAAACACCAAAGCCCTTAACGCACACTAAACCCACACTATCTCAAATACTGCTCCGGAGTGCTATTCGAGGCTTAGTGTATCCCATCATGCATCATGCTCTGGAAATAAAAGGCTTGTTTGAGATTAACAAAATCTGCGCAGAACCGATCACCGGTGATCACCGCGAGATGCATGCCGGTTAGAAAAGTGTCCGAAGGCTTGTTTGAGATGCGCCTCGCCTCGCCTGAAATGTAGGTGAGAGTAGGCGGCTGCAGTGAGGGGAGTATGGCGAGTATTATGTGACAGGATTACCCGCCGGAGTTGACAGTCGTGTACTTCTACGTGTGAGAAGGGTACGTCGCCTCCAGACTGTGACGCCAAATACCTCAAATAGTGTTTCTCATGCTGAACAACAATATTTAATGTATCTGCATTACTGTAAGGGTAGGTTTAGGGTTGGGGTAGGTGTAGACTTCAATAAAACACAATCTAATAGGTAGAAAAAATATGTATTGGTTTCCTGTAATTGTATACCTTCTAGCTACAACCGTGAATATAACACATAATTACTGTATTTGCATTACTGTAAGGGTAGGTTTAGGGTTGTGGTAGATTAGACACACCTGAACGAGCTAATCAAGCTCTTACTAGGCATGCTAAAAACTTCCTGGCAGGTGTATTGAGGCAAGTTGGCGCTAAACTCTGCAGGACACACCGGCCCTCTCCAGGACCAAGTTTGGGCACCCCTGGTCTAACCAGGCCTTAGAGTCCTTCCTTCTAATACGCACTTATCATCTGCTATTCACAAGTAAAGGGTTGTGTATACTGGCCCAATACCATATTTTG